AAGCGTTTTACAATTTACATATGTAGATAAAATATTTTAAGAAAAAAAAATTGTCTACTCCCAACCAAATTATAATAATTTTTAACATTTTAAATTATTTTTAGACTGGAATTGAACCAAAAAATATTGATGAGAAAATAATGAAATCACTCGATTTTTTAAACTATTATTTAAGCAATTGACTTGCGTTTTTAGGCCATTTATCAGGAATATTCCATTAACTGACTTTTGTTTTTTTAGATCTCCTTTAGTTTTCTGTATATACATATTTTTTATATGCAAATATTTGATTATATGTATATTTATATGTATTATTTATTGAAAAATCAGAAATGCATATATTTTTAAGAAAACAAAAAACTGTTACTTAATTTTTTTACAAGTTAAAAAAAAAATTTTTTTAAAGAAATTAAATAAATTTGTTAAAATATTTTTACTCTATTTTGCGGTTTTCCTATAAAAAATATGCATTTATATTTTTTAAATAACAAGTATAACATACAAAAAACGTTCCAGTAAATAAATATCCCTTATTGGCCTTAATAGCTTAAAAAATTGAGCCAACTAGTTGAATAATAGCTTCAGAAATTGACTGATTAGTCCCAAACCAAACCAAATTTTGTATGGTGAAAATACAACTTATTATCCAGGTATATTCTGTTAATCAATTAGACTTTATCTAAATTACTTTTTTTAGAAAGACAGGATATTTATAGGTTTCTTAGCACATAATAGCCTATGTGCCCGCCAAACCAAAATCAAAAATCCGCCATTGTATACCTTCTATTATAATAGGTGGGTTGAAAACAAAATGTTTGTTTTTTTTCTAAGCATGGGGGTATAATTTGTACCTTATAAAAAAAGAAAATAAAAAAAAATTTACTCAATATCTTGAGGTGGGCCACTCGTTTTTTAAATAAATATTTAATCAAATGGGGTAGTTCCAACGGGAAATTCTTTTTTTTGTTCTAGAATCTGTAGGGTGTCGCCCTTAAAAGCCAATTGGAAGTCAAAAGTTGAAAAAGTTTTTTTTCCATTGTTTTTGTAATTTAAGTAAAATATTAAAAGAACTTTCTTTTGTTTTATAAGGAAAGTTGAGTGAAAAAAAATCACATGTTTTCCACGATTTTGGACCAAAAAAATAATTTCCCGTTGGAACTACCCCATTTGATTAAATATTTATTTAAAAAACGAGTGGGCCACCTCAAGATGTTGAGTCAAAAAAATTTTTTCTATTGAAAAATTTTCTTTTTTTATAAGGTACATATTATACCCCATGCTAAGAAAAAAAAACAAACATTTTGTTTTCAACCCATTAAGTAAATTTTAATGAATACAATTACTAATTTTATCTAATATATTTTTTTAGGGAAAATGGATTTTCTTTAATAAATTATTTTTTTTAAACATGGTTTTATTGCTTTTAATTATGGTACAAATGGTGGGAAAAATCCCTTATAGCGTAGTGTAGACAAAATCGAAAAAATGTCAGGGGGTTGACTTTTATTGGGTACCCAATAATACGTATTAAATGTTTACATAACTATGCAAAAAGCAAACAAGTTAGTGGTGTACAAATTTTGTTCAAAAATTTTCTTTAAAACATTTGTTTATTCACCCTGATAAACCAATATTATTTCTTTATAAATTTATTTTATAATTCAAATTTTAATAACATTGGACTACTATATAAATAAATAAAATTTTAACACCCTCAATATACGAAAGGAAGCTTTTAAGGACCTAATTTAATAAAAGTTTTTTTTTCTAGAAGACGCTCTATAATAAAAGTGTATGAAACCGAAAGAAAACAAACAAACGAAATGCTGGCAATCGCGGATAAAATCGGACGAAAGCAGACGTTTGCGGTTGAAAACGAGCAAAAACAGACGTTTACGGGTAAAAACGGACGTACGCAGGCGTTCGCAGTCGAAATCAGACGTTTGCGGGTGAAAAAGTACGAAATCAGACGTTCGCGGATGAAATCAGGCGTTTGCGGGTAAAAGCAGACGTTTGCGGGTGAAAGCAGGCGTTTGCAGGTAAAAGTAGACGTTTGCGGGTAAAAACAGGCAAAAGCAGACGTTTGCGGGCAAAAACAGACGTACGCAGGTGAAAGCAGGCGTTCGCAGACGAAAGCCGACGTTTGCGGATGAAACCGGGCGAAAGTAGATAAAACTAAATGCCGGCGATCGCGGGTGATTTCAGATGATTGCGAGGTTGCACTAACCGGGCGAAAGACAGGTATAACCGGGCGTTCGCAGGTGAAAGCAGACGTTTGCGGGTGAAAAAGTACGAAATCAGACGTTCGCGGATGAAATCAGGCGTTTGCGGGTAAAAGCAGACGTTTGCGGGTGAAAGCAGGCGTTTGCAAGTAAAAGTAGACGTTTGCGGGTGAAAACAGGCAAAAGCAGACGTTGGCGGGTAAAAACATACGTAAGCAGATGAAAGCAGGCGTTCGCAGACGAAAGCCGACGTTTGCGGGTGAAACCGGGCGAAAGTAGATAATTGCGAGGTTGTACTAACCGGGCGAAAGACAGGTATAACCGGGCGTTCGCAGGTGAAAGCAGACGTTTGCGGGTGAAAAAGTATGAAATCAGACGTTCGCGGATGAAATCAGGCGTTCGCGGGTAAAAGCAGACGTTTGCGGGTGAAAGCAGGCGTTTGCAGGTAAAAGTAGACGTTTGCGGGTAAAAACAGGCAAAAGCAGACGTTTGCGGGCAAAAACAGACGTACGCAGGTGAAAGCAGGCGTTCGCAGACGAAAGCCGACGTTTGCGAATGAAACCGGGCGAAAGTAGATGAAACTAAATGCCGGCGATCGCGGGTGATTGCAGATGATTGCGAGGTTGCACTAACCGGGCGAAAGACAGGTATAACCGGGCGTTCGCAGACCTGTGAAAGCAGACGTTTGCGGGTGAAAAAGTATGAAAGCAGACGTTCGCGGATGAAATCAGGCGTTCGCGGGTAAAAGCAGACTTTTGCGGGTGAAAGCAGGCGTTTGCAGGTAAAAGTAGACGTTTGCGGGTGAAAACAGGCAAAAGCAGACGTTCGCGGGTAAAAGCAGACGTTTGCGGGTGAAAGCAGGCGTTTGCAGGTAAAAGTAGACGTTTGCGGGTGAAACCGGGCGAAAGTAGATCAAACTAAATGCCGGCGTTCGCGGGTGATTGCAGATGATTGTGAGGTTGCACTAACCGGGCGAAATACAGGTATAACCGGGCGTTCGCAGGTGAAAGCAGACGTTTGCGGGTGAAAAAGTATGAAATCAGACGTTCGCGGATGAAATCAGGCGTTCGCGGGTAAAAGCAGACGTTTGCGGGTGAAAGCAGGCGTTTGCGGGTGAAACCGGGCGAAAGTAGATCAAACTAAATGCCGGCGTTCGCGGGTGATTGCAGATGATTGCGGGGGTGCACTAACCGGACGAAAGACAGGTATAACCGGGCGTTCGCGGATAAAGTAAAGCAGGCGTGTGCGGGTATGGGCAGATAAGATTTTCACCCGCAATCACCCGGTTTTGACGCATATTTCAATCGAAATTTACGCCCGCAATCACCCGGCTTTTTCAGCAGGGTATTGATATATTTTTGTAGAGAATTGAACGCTCTACAAAAAAGGTTTTTTATGATTTTTTGATAAATTTGATCCTTCTAAATAAATTTAAGGACAAAGTTCAAATTATACGAAATTTAAAAAAAATTGAAATATTTTTGTAGAGAATTGAACGCTCTACAAAAAAGGTCTAGAGTCATTTTTCGGTAAGTAAACTTGGTTAAAAGTTATTCAAGGTTAAAGTGAAATTAACCGTCAATTTTCTGGATTTTTTAGTTCAAAGTGCTAAAAACGAATCGAAATATTGTTTTTGAGCTCTGGAAGTTCGAAAAAACAGCGTTCAATTCTCTACAAAAATATATCAAAATTTTTTAAATGAGTCGGGCAGACTCGCCAAATAAGTTAAAAAAACCCAAAAATTTTGTATAATTTCAACTTTGACCTTAAATTTCTTTAGAAGGATCATATTTATCAAAAAATCATAAGAAACCTTTTTTGTAGATCGTTCAATTCTCTACAAAAATAATTTTTCCTTTGTTATTCTTATGGAAAATCGAAAAGTGCGATGCGGAACATCTTAATTTTGAAATTAAGAGCTCATTTTTTTACAGGCTCATTTTTATATCTATACGAAACTTTTGAGCGTGGTTCCGAGAAAAAAAACAAAAAAAAAGGTTTTTTTGAAACACCCTAGTATAACATATAGGGGTCATTCCACGTTACTCGGGGATTTTTGTCCCGCCCGTCACAATTAATTATGGTTTTAATAAGTTATAACCAAAATAAAAATAATATTTTAAATATTAATTTTATAACTTGTGGTTTTTACTCACAATTTTTAATTGTGACGGGCGGGACAAAAATTACCGAGTAACGTGGAATGCCCCATAGGTATTCGAGTTAAGCCTGATTTATTGCCTTCCTTCCTTCCTCCCGTAAAAGATGAACAATACGAAAATCGTAGTGCCATTTATAGATTCCCGTACGGCACAAACAGCACAACGGTTTTTGTATTGTTCATCTACGGGAGGAAGAAAGGAAAGCAATCTGTAAATCAGGCTTTAGAGGAAAATTATTCGTCTTAAAGGAATAAAAATTGGTTCAGTGGCAAGTTCACTGCAGTGATGATCACAGACCATGAAGGGAAAATTAATAAAATAAGACTTATTATAAGTGAAATGTCCCCCTCATACTCCACCTTCCTCTATGCACTAAAAAATAGACTTTAAATTTAATTTTTTGTTTGTTTTTAGAATTAACTTTTTCATATAAAATAGTTATAGCACATAGGTACTTATTAGTAGACAATCAGAAAGTTCTTATTTTAGTCTAAAGCAAGTGTTCTTTGGTCTGAAGTACATAAATATAAATATAATGATGATGATCAGACTTGAGTCTGTCAACTTGGCATAATAAAAAATAAAAAGTAGTCAAAATAGAAAAATTATACAATACATTTGAAATTCCTTGTTGGGGTGGTTACTTTGGGCGCCCCATGAACAGTTTCTTCAAGGGTTGTCTTATTTTCTTCTGTACTTTTCTCCATTTTAATGTTGGAGAATATTTTCAAAGCTCTCAGAAGTAGTTTCTAAAAAAGTGGACTTGTTTATAAATTGACAATCAATTACAAAGACTCTATGATCAATTATTAAACTCGTCGACTAGATTACTTGTTCATACTTGAAAATGCAATAAAAATTTTTGGGACACCCAAATTATTTTAAATTATCACCACGTTGCCAAGCCAAAAGTTTTAAACAGTAAAGTAGGAACACAATTGAGGTTTGTATTTAATTTAATACTATAATAGTTTTAATAAAAATTTAAATAATATTTAAAGCATGTAATATTAACAAAGTAATTTATATTTTAAATAATACTACTTGAAATTTTACAAATTGGCAACATTGAACGTAATGCCGGTAATGATGGTGTCTCTATTTACGAATTGACTAGAAATTTTGTTTACTTCTTGAAGAAAAAGACATTAAGCCTAAAAGCCTTTAATTGAAACCCTACTCAATATTAATATTGCTGACTAATAAATTTATATATGTAAATCAATAAGCTAAAAATGATATAAATAAGGGGTATAAAATATTATTTTATAACCTCAAAGTTTCGTGCATTGACATGTTCTTGGCAGTCGTTAGTTTATAAGATTTTTTTAAATTTGCTTAAACTATGAAATAATGGACGTGGAATCCCCAGAAAATTTTATATTGGATGTGTTACAAAGAGCTTCTAGTCAGAACCCTGATATATTGAAGCCTGCTGTTGAAAAACTAAAAGAATGGGAAACTCAACCAGGATTTTACAATACCTTGCTTGTAAGTTAAATCGATTTTCTTGAAGCATGTTTAAGTCCTATTTGTTTTAGAATGTATTTTGCAATCACAATGTAGATGTAAACGTAAGGTGGATAGCCGTTCTTTATCTCAAAAATGGCATTGATAAATATTGGAGGAAAAAAGCACCTGGGTAAGTTAAATAAGTTATTAGTTGAGGACCTTAGAATAGGAGGGGTATAAGTCCACTTTATATATATATACAACCCACAATTGTTAATGTTAACATAATTCTTAACATTAATGTTAACTCTAAATGTATATCTAAGGCAACTTAAGCTAGTTATAACGAATGTAAACTTACATAAATAACAGATGCTGTCCTAAAATCACTAAAATAATAATTTATTTATCAAATATATTGATTTATTACATATGAATATTAAATTATTAACTATAACAATATTAGGATATATTATAATATATGTATTACCTAAATAAATACATTTTTATAGTGCTATATTAGAAGAAGAAAAAGAGTGTATAAGACAGGGCCTTTTAAGTAATTTTAATGAGCCAGTGAGTGCAATTGCAATTCAACGGGCAGTTCTTGTATCAAAAATTGCTAGACATGACTTTCCCAAAGAGTGGTCCCAATTGTTTCCCATTTTGGTACAGGCTGTCGAAAGTCCAGACAATCTCATACAACACAGGGCGTTGTTAACACTGCATCACGTTATTAAGGCTGTATCTACAAAACGCTTGCCAGGAGATAAAAAGAACTTTCAAGAACTGACAAATAAAATTTACCCATTCACATTGAATTTGTGGCACAATTACACAGAGAATTTTATCAGGGATATTGTACAAGACTGCAGTGGTGAAATTATCAGTGTTAATTTGGAGAAAGCTCTACTTCTATTGAGGATTTTGAGAAAAATGACTATTAATGGTTTTAGTCAGCCACATACAAATCCAAATTGTATGTCATTTTTAAATGTTATTTTTGAGAAAGCAAAAGTTGTTCTTGAATGCAGTAAGTATAAGTTACTTTAGGTTTTATCAGTCTTATAAACTAGCATTTGATTTTTACCTAAATAGTTTCATTTTATTCTTAGGGTGTTTAAAAAAAAGTTATATAGTTTTTTTTTGGCTCTGACATGAACATTTTATACATTATGCTAAAATTACACAGGAAAATGTTTTTTAAATTTAAAGGTTAACCTAAAGTTTGGTGGCAAGAGAAAACCTACCAAATGAATGCGTTACACCTGAGTCAAGCCACGTCAAGTGGGACCAGAAAATTTCGACGAAATCACCGATTTTGAAAATAATCACATAATTGTGTAGTAGGCATGCCTCATATGTCACAGTAAAAAAATTGTTTTGAAATTCAATTTTTGGTTAATGTTATTTAAGTTCATAATTTTGTCAAACTTAAGAGCATGGTAAAATTGAAAAAATAGAATCTCTTGGACCACTCTGTATAATTGAATTAAATTTTACACACTATTGAAATTGAAATTTTTTACGTGTTCTTCACGCTGAAAAAAATTAATCTTGTGTCATAATATGCGGCAAACATTCCCGTTTAATAAAATCTACTCAAAAATTTGTCCTTTATATTTCATTCCGGAGATATTAAATTTTTTGTCCCGCTGTGCGTTCGATCAGTACGCGGCGCGCTTCGCTGCTAGCTCGTCGGTTCCAACGTTCTAACGGAAAGCTGTGTTAACGAGCTAGCAGCGAAGCGCGCTGCGTACTGCTCAAGCACACAGCGGGAGAAAAAAAATAATATCTCCGGAATGACCTATGAAGGACATTTTGAGTACATTTTATTAAACGGAAATGTTTTCCGCATATTATGACACAAGATTAATTTTTGTTCAGCGTGAAGAACACATAAAAAATTTCAATTGTTTATAATAAATTATGCAAAACTCTTTTATTTAAACAAATTTACCTTAATTAATATAGTCTAAACATTGCTACACTAGTGTGTAAAAATAATTCAATTATAAAGAGTTTTCCCAGAGATTCTATTTTTTTAATTTTATCATGCTCTAAAGTTTGACAAAATTATTAACTTCAATAACATTATTAAAAAAGCGAATTTCAAAACAATTTTTTTACTATTACATATGCGTCATGCCTACTACACAATAATGTGATTATTTTTAAAATCGGTGATTTCGTGAAATTTTCTGGTCCCACTTGACGTGGCTTGACTCACCTATAACTGAGACAGATAATGATTGTGCTTGACTTCTTCCTTGCACTTTAGTTCTAGTTTGCCAGACTAACCATTTTTGACTTACTTACAATCCTTTAGGAGCATTACATTCTTTACAAAAATGACAGTGACAGTTTTGTTGAATCATCCCTTACTTTGACATGCCATGTACGGCTTTCAAAAGCTATTAAATTGTTTTTTGTAAATATATGTGTTACTTTTAAGGTGTCTTCTTACTTTTAAAAATGGATTTGTCTCTGACTGATCTTGCCAGAGCCATTGATTTAATTCAAGATGGACGGTCGCAGTATTACGTGGCAAGTGTTTTAAACGTCACAAAAAGTAACAAAGTGTACATCAGTCAGAGACATACATTTTTAAAAGTAAGAAGACACCTCAAAAGTTAAACATTAATTTGCAAAAAACAATTTGATAGCTTTTGAAAGCCGTATATGACATGTCCAAGTATGGGATGATTCAACAAAACTGTCACTGTCATCCTCCATAGCCTATGGATGAACCATAGCAACCTTAGTTCTTTGTACAGAAAAAATATTGGAAATTGCAATGTTTTTTTAAAAAATCCATATTTTCCACAAAAATAAATATATCGAGGTGAACCAAAAACAAAACTATTAAGAATAGATGTGACTTGATAATTAAAACTTAATTTAGAACAATATTTGTGATTGAAATTCATCGAAAATTTGTGTGGTTCGATTATTTTGCCTGTGAGTGTATATGTTACGGCTAATGTGCAAACTTGGATAGTTTATAAACTAGCTGGATAGTTTATAAACTAGCCAAACTGTCAGCTATTTTAATTGAAAACATATTTTCAACTAAATTAGAGGCTAGTTTACAAAATAACCAAGGATCTTGGCTAATTTACTTGAAATTATTAGGGAAACTAAAATAGCTGGATAGTTTGTATACTATCCAATTCAGTTTGGCTAATATGAAAACCAAAATTTCTACTAACACAAAATAGCCAAGCTTTAGCTAGTTTGTAAACTAACCAACCAATTCTCAATCCAGCTAATTTATAAACTATCCAAGTTTGCACATTAGCTGTAACATATATATTAATACATTAAAAAAGGTTAAACTTTACTTGCGATTATATTTGAAGCGCTTACATTTATCAAAAAAACTGAAGAAACCTTTTTTGTAGATCAGTTAACCTACTACTTATTTAGAAATCCTAACTATTTTTTTTCAAAACCTTCAATTTTGACAAAAGATATTTTTAAGTGGCTATAGAGTAGATGTAGAGCATTAAATTCCCTTATAAAATGTTTATTGGGCTTGGCTTTATATTAATTTTTAAGTGAGATATAATATCTATTTCTGTTTTAAGAGCGCAAAGTGATATATTGTCGCTCTGAGCGAGAAGTTTGACGCGCGACGCGTAGCGGCAATGTCACTTTGCGCTCGAATTACACACAGGATTTTTTTCTACAACCGGTGTTTTTATAAAAATGTTTGGTAATAATTAATAATTATTGATAACCTCAAATAACCTCAAACACTGCGATCACAGTGTATACCAGACGTTTCGTTATTATGGTTTCCATGGTAACTAAGTGAGCGTTTTAGTTACTTTGTCGCTCGGCGAGAAACGCTTGCTCCTCGGAAAAGTGCAACTTTGCGCTTTTTTTTTGGAAGCGCAAATTTGTACTTTTCGCTCGGTTGTAGAAAAACTGTTTTTCATACACTAATTTAAAATTGGAAAATTGCGATGAGGAGGAGTATTTAAGTCTTAATAGTAAAAGCTCGATATCACCCTAATATATACAATTTTGTAGGAAGTTAAATGTAATACAAAATTACTGTCTTACTTTTTGACTTAATTGATTGATTATGTATTTAGACATTAAAAACGGGGAATTTAAAAAATAATTACAAAAAAATTATTTTACTTTGCGAATTATTAGCGATAAAAAGTTGAATAATTTACGTTTTTTATAGAGAATTTTATACTACCAAGGGATCAGATCATAAGTAATATCATAAGGGCATTTAATTTTTCCGAAAAGAATCGAAAAAACACGTTGCTAAGTAATATTTTAACAAAAAGCATGAGTGCTGGTGGCAACAAAAATCCGAGTCGAAGAGGAGGATTTTTGCACCTGCACGAATGCATTTTGTTAAAAAATATTACTTAGCATTGTGTTTTTTCGATTTTTTTACAGGAAAAATTAGATGCCCGAATGGTATTTGACAAGACTATTTCATGAGTAACAGTTAACAATTAAAATATAAATTGCAATTTTTGGTGACAACAGCTGTCAAGTTTTGCCGCGGGTAAACTCGAATAAACTTCTGACAGGTTCTGTCACACAGTTTTTTCACCTAGAAACCATTTGTAATTCAAAATTGCGCGTTTGTGATTGGTGGAAATTAAGACGAGGGAAATAGTCAATGATAAATATTTAATATTTAAACTCGTTGAGAATCTCTAAAGCTGCGTACACACTTGGCGAACGAATGCAGCCGTGCGCACGTTTGCTTCAATATTCTCCATGATCTACACATTTACGGTCGGTCTTTCGGGTAATTATCGCAGTATCGCGTTATATGTAAAAAAAATTATTGCAAGTGCTGATGATGATCATACATATAATATCCATTTTAAATGCACGTAACTACAAACAGCGCACAACCTTTAAATTAATCACAAGCTAGCGTGTGTTCGAAGGAATATTCATGTAATTTTCAGCAAAAAAAAAAACAATATCGCTTTTTATGAAACACCCTAATATTTTTATCATAACCACTTGGCTAATTAGTCATTCAACTTTTTTCAGGAAAACAACTAAAAGGAAAAGGACTGGGGGTACTGGAAAGCTGCGAAAAATTCATTATCCACCTAACTAAAGTTTTGCTTTCATTGTTGGACGTTTACCCTTTTTCATTTGTCGATTTGATTCAACCCAGTTTGGAATTCGCGGTTTACTACCTATTCACAAACGACGGAGTACAATTTCTGTTTGAAAGATTTGTAATTCAGTGTTTTAACCTGATCAAGAATATTCTGCTGTGTGTGGAGTACAGGGCGGCTAAAAATCCGGAACTGACCAAGCATCCGGCAACTATGAAGGCGTACCAAACTACGCAGGCATTCTTTCAGCCCGATGTGTTGAACGAAATATGTCGTAAGTTGGTCACTCACTATTTTATTCTGACTCAAGATGAGTTGCTGGTCTGGGATCAAGATCCAGAAGCGTTTTCCAATGATGAGGCAGGGGACAGTTGGAAATACAGTTTAAGGGTAAGAAACGCTGTTTATAAAATACGTTCTTAATACAAGTCTATCTTTTAGCCTAGCATGGAAACCGTGTTTGTTACTCTATTTCGAAAATTCAAAGAAGTTTTAACCCCAATCATGTTGGAATTAATATCAGAAACCAATGTTTTAATACCGCCTGAAGATATGCAGGGTATTTTAAAAAAAGACGCTGTGTACAATGCTGTAGGACTTTGTGCTTTTGATTTGTATGATGAGGTAAGTTTATAATGCTATTTAACTGATAGTATTAAGTGAATACTAAACAGAAATGATGCGCCAAACAGCGATATTTGCTTAGCATTGATAATAGTTATTTTGATTTTTAAATAATAGCGATCGTAACTTATATTACATATTATTAACGGCAATTTAATCTTAATTCATTATTCACCTGAAGACGACTTGCGAGAAATTTCACAAATGAGCTACGATTTTTGAGGTAGAAAAAAATTAGAACTGAGTAATACTCCAATATTCCAATAATTGGAAAATAATCTCATTATTAATATCAAGTCACGTTATACAAATTTGTTTATGTGCAATTGAACATTTCTGCACCGTTTAATAGAAAAATTATTATCTCGTAAAATAGTTATGTATAAATAAAAAATTGATGAAAATTTCAGAGGATGTAAATAAAAATGTATTCAATGTTTTACCTTTTTTGTAATATTCCTTTGGGTTAAAGATTCCACTTTAACGGCGATTTGTTAGAGCTATTTTTACAATTTACCAATGTGCAAAGGTTTATTTATTTATCTCCTCATCTATTAATCACACTTCATTATACAGGGTGTTTTACATTCGTGGTCCAATGGACGTTTCTGGGGAACGGTATATTTTCCGATTTGAAATTTAAAAAGCGTTTATAATCCATTTTAGTCTATTTTTTTAATATTGTAATTAAAATGCCACTTCCTGTTTAATAATAATAATAATAATAATTTATTGCCCAACAGAATACAATATTCCAATTACAGGACAAAATATGTATTTATAACAACATTAGTAATATTTAATATGCCTAAGCTTAACAATAAGGAAAAAATAAAGAAAATTAAAGAATATTATAACAATAGAAAATATATATACATATATATATATATACCCGTATACACATATAAACAAATACATACATACATATATCATTGTTCACGTACACTTGAAACTATTTCCCTAATGCTTGAATTAAACAAATCACAGTTACCACATATAGAATTAAAGTTATTGCACATTACTTGTACTGGAGATTTCAAATGCACGTTTGTTCTCGAAAAACTACAATAAAATAGTTTCATATTTCGAGCTCCTAAGCGGGGTATTAGAATATTAATAAAACCTAAAATGTGACTAGAGTCAATCTGATTATTAAAAAGTTTCCACAAAAATTTTAAACTTATAACTTTGCGCCTAACTAAAAGAGTTTCAAAGTTAAATCTAGATAATAGGATATTATGATCATATCCTCTAGCGGGATAGACTTGATCAATTCTGTAGGAAAGCAGTTTTAAAAATCTTCTTTGTATCTTTTCGATAGAGTCAATATGTACATTGTAATGCGGATACCAGATGAGAGAGCAATATTCAAGTTTTGTTCTTATGAGATAATAAAACAGTGATTTTAAAGCTTGGATGTTAGAAAAACTAACAGAATTTCGACTTATAAATCCTAACAGCTTTAAAGCAGATTCAACAGTGTTATTGATATGAGTTGTAAATGAGAGCCTATTGTCAAAAAATACACCAAGGTCACGAATTTCATGACAACGTAAAAGGATGGTATTATTTAATGTGTAATTAAATATAATGGGCGTATTTTTAAGACTGTAACTACAGATTTTACATTTAGATACATTAAGATCGAGTTTGTTAACTTCACACCATCTAAGAATAATATTCAATTGTTGTTGAAGAAGGTCGCAATCAGTAGTATCAGAGATACTGGTAAATATTTTCAAATCGTCAGCAAAAAATAAATGATTACAATTAAGTTTCAGTGACAAGTCATTTATAAATAAAATGAACAAAAGAGGTCCCAGATTAGAGCCTTGTGGCACTCCACTAGTGGCATAAAAATAACTAGAAAAATACCCATTATAGAAAACAAATAGTTTGCGCTGACACAAGTAGGATTGAAACAGATTTATGAGAGAATTATTTAAACCAAAATATGACAACTTATTGAGCAAAACATTATGATCTACCCTGTCGAAAGCCTTTGAAAAATCTGTGTAAATCACATCCACCTGAAGTTTTTTATCCAGTTGTGTAGATACAAATTGCGTGAATTCAATAAGATTTGTTACAGTCGAGCGTTTATTCATAAATCCGTGTTGTTGCGTGGAAACATACTTAGGGCCGGTTTTTCAATCGTTGGTTAAGTTTAACTTACGGTTAACTTTCTTAGATACTATTGTGTTAACAATAGTATCTAAGGAAATTAACCGTAAGATAAAGTTAACCAACGATTGAAAAACCGGCCCTTAGAGTGAATAGTTTTCTTTGGTTAAAATTTAACTAATGCGCGTCAATCAAAAATAGCCTAAAACCCCAGACCAAACCAAAACTTATTTGTTATTAGGTTCAAGAAACCTGTGACGGGTGAATTGACGGTACCTAAGGTTACTACGTAGTCTGCCATTTTATATCTTTTTTCTACTCCCACCTTTAAAACGCCCTTTATCGTACATGTTTCCATGACACTAAGTGACCTTTTAAATACACATTGACAAGTTGTGGCTTTATGGCGCTTTAGTCACGGGCTGAAGTTAGCAACAGGTTTTTAGTCACGGGCTAAAGTTAGTTTTAAATTAGTTGACAGTTTTCAAACGTCATACAATCGTTAAAATAAAGTGCCTTTCTACTAAATGTGAAAATTATTTTATTATCTCAGTACAAAAATACAAAAGTATTAAATAGTTTCTCAACGCCAATATTTGAAAAGTTTATATGAACATTGTACTGACCTTTTAATTTCGCCTGCAGTAAACTATAACTTAAATTCGGGCACGGACTCCACTGTAAAGTCCTCATAAAACATTTTCTTTACTTTCACTGTGAAAAACTGTCAATTTTCAAGAAATACATTTCGATTTACAACCTTTATAATCTGTGTTATATATAAAAATGTGACATTTGACGGTGACACACAGTTTCCCCTATTGTTTTATAGATGGCGCCCTATACAAATTTTTGATTTAAATCATTTTAATATAATAATAGTATTTGTCGTAGAAAAAGTATACCTAGTATACCTCATTAATAAACTTTTCTATACACTTATTAATTTAAGCACTCGCTCGCAAGCTCGCTCGTGCCTAAATTAAATTCGTGTATAAAATGGCGTTTATCAAACTTGATACATAATATACTATTTTCTATGCTGTCATTGTTCAAAATTTATTGGCGTCAATTTTTCAGGTTATAAATAATTTGTTGACTAATTAAGTGTTTTCTAAACAAAATTACTGATAAAAAATATCAGTCAGTGACTTAAAATAAACATTGACAAACCAAACATTTTTAAAATAAAAAAGTAATACTAGTATTTGCTAATTTTGAAAAAAAAATCAACAAACCTGTAGGATCTCAAGTAGATGAAGCACTAGCTCATTGGAAACAATAAAATATAACATTTATTTTATGAAATATTTTAATAACAAAAATAATTCATAACTAACAATTTAATAAACCAACAATATTTTAATTAACAATTTTTATTACTAATTTATTACTAAAGGTTCAAAGTGTCCTTCATTTACATTCAAGCATTTCTTAGATGTTACTTCTACATTTAATTTAGACGTTGCTCCTCTTAGAAATTGTTAAATATCTCTGAAATTATTAAATTTAGGTCTACGGTATAGTTACATCAATCAAAATGTTTTTTAATTTCCTATTTGATTATGTAAAAACATACAGGGTGTTACAGTAAAATACAAAGTTATTAACGTTTCAAGTTAGACTAATTTGCCATGGGTTTTCTCGAGTAGTTGGTTGAGATATGTTAAAGAATTGACATGAAATTTTCTAAACAATGTTTTAAGATTTAAAAAATTTCACCCTCCATAACCGCAAACCTAATAACGACAAAGTTATAGGCTATTTTTGATTGACGCGACTTTTTGCTGTTTCCCAGAAACTTTTAATGGACCACAAATATTAATCATCCTGTAGACTATTTTAATTTTAATAATTTTTCATTCCTTATTTGAAAGTAGTCATGTATAATTGAACCAAGCCACATTTTTAATTATTGCTTAAGGGTAAGACTACATCCATTTAATCTTCACCATTTCTTTATTCTCATCATCATTTAGTACTTCTTATAATATTTTTTCCAAATTTGCAGCCTTACAATAATTTTACACTATAGACAAATATTAAGATGACTTAGATAAGTCACAAGCCATTTTGCTTGTTTTAAAATGCTCTCATTCGATTACACTAGCTTCTACCTAGACATTTTTTATTTTTAAAATTGGAATTTCTCTGTGACGCTACTTCTGGTACATCCTGTAAAACTTTTTATGAGCGGCACCTTTATAATCTGTGGAGCGGCATTTTTTCAATTAGTTTTAAGGGACTTTTCTTAAGTAAAATATATGTGTTGCTATTAAAAGTCGCGATACAGTAATTTTATTTTTATTATTCTTATGTATTTAGACTTTATTAATATAAAATCATATAAAACAATTTTTTAAAGACGTTTCTAAAATAACGATGATTTAAAGTTTTGTTTTTTTGACACAAACTATCAGAAAATACATGTGTTAGACATGTTAACCTTGGCTGCATTATTTGAATTGCTTTCTTAATTTAAAAAGTATGCATTAGATTTTCAAGTATGTGGTGTGGAGTTGGTGCACTATTTTGGGAGCCCGTGTGTAGTAACTTTTTATACTATTTTCGAGATTACTTTCTAAAACTGTTAAATTAAAGAATCATAACTGATAAAAAAAACATAATTGTATCTTGGATCATGGGGGACATATTTTGTAGGAAAGAATACCTTTTTTCGGATTCTTTTTTGTATTTAATAAAAGGGAAATGAAAAATTAAATTTACATTATGCCCAATTATCAGCAATATAATAATTTAATAATAATAATAATAATAATAGTTTATTCATCTTTAAAGTATTACAGAGATAACAGTGTATACTTATTAGACTAGTCAGGAAAATACAATACAATAGTTTAAGAAATACAAATTAAAAATATACAATTGCTAATTGCTAGAGCCAGAGTTGACTAAAAACACTTAATTAAAATTATCATTTAAAAACTCTTCTACACTATAGTAAACTTTATCCAAAAATAATGCATTAAGGCGACTTTTCAAGACATACACACTTTTACAGTTGTTTACTAAATTAAAAGCTTTATTATAAAATTTGATACCTTGGTATATATGACTAGATTGGCTTATAGATAACCTCGAATATGGAGGATATAGATTTTCTTTATGTCTTGTTTCATAATTATGTATATTTTCATAAGATTGTATTAAATTTTTATTTTTATTAATATATATAATTAGATTTTGGATATATAAACAAGTTAAAGTTAAAATTCTTAAAGATCTAAATAATGGTTTACACGAAAACGATTGATTTTTTCCAGCCATACATCTTATTATTTTCTTCTGTTGAATAAACACTCTATTTGCAAAACAAGATTTTCCCCAGAAAATAATACCATAGGTAATTTTTGACTGAACAAGACCATGGTACATAAAGTTATAAAGTTATAAAGTGCTCTTTTAGTTCCACCCTTACATCCAAACTAAGATGTCCCATAAGCCAACTGAATGGCTTGTGCGGGTTAGGGGTAGGAACGGACCGACGGCTTAAAGTCCCCTCCGAAGGACTATACACAATGGACAAACACAAATAAACAACCATACCCAAGTGGGATTCGAACCCACGACCTCTCGGCTCGTACCCAGGAGCTCTGACCACTACACCACCATTCTGAGGACTGATACATCCACAGTATTCCTTATATATCTAATCAAATAATTTACAGAGCTAAGTTTCTCGCACAAAATATCAGCATGGTATTCCCAAGTTAATTTATAATCAATATTAACACCTAAAAACTTTGTTTGCTGGACTGACGGAATGGTCCTATGGTTAAGTTTAATAAGTAAGTCATGACTCAGTGAAACATTTTTTGTGACAAATCTGGTGTAAACAGTTTTCTCCATATTGACTTTGAGGCCATTATCATAACACCAATCCCCAAATAGTTGTGTCATAGTAGTGGCTTCACAGATAAGATTGTTTAATTCTTTATTTTTTATTAGCAAGTTAGTATCATCTGCATACAAAACTAGGTTGCTGTTATTTTTTTCTATGTTACAAATGTCGTTAATAAAAATTAGAAAGAAAAGAGGACCCAGAATAGAGCCCTGTGGGACACCTAAAGAAACTGATAGAGGAATGGATTTTTTACTGTCAATCACAACTACTTGTTGGCGATTGTACAGATATGATTTCACCCATACTTTGAAGTTTTTTTAATAACATCAAATGATCCATTGAGTCAAATGCCTTACTTAAATCAAAAAATATTCCTATGATCTGTTCTTTATTATTAAGACCTTCATAAATAAATTCTAAAGCATTAGCTATCGCTGTATGTGTTGATTTATTTGGTCTAAATCCATTTTGCCTCTTACTTAAAATATTATATTTATCAAGATATGTAATCAACCGGTCGTAAAAAAGAAAATCAATAACTTTTGACATTTGATTTTGAATGCATATTGGGCGATAGTTATTTGCAGATTTTTTGCATCCTTTGTTTTTGTATACTGGTATACATTTAGACATTTTGAGGCATTCAGGATATTTACCTAGACTAAATGAATCATTTATAAGGTATGTAAGAGGCATAACAATAGAGTTTGCGCATTTATTCATTTCTTTTATAAAAATTCAAAAAAATATGTAAATTAAATTTTATAACATATCCGCAGTATATTATTGTGCGATTTTCAGTTACCCGTTTTTAAATAAATTAAACGTAATTATCCAACTTTGTTTATATCTGGGCAGTTTTTATATACCCGAAACAAACGTTGCAATGTTTCATCAAATAGGTACAAGTTTCGTCATATAGCAAGTCGCATGAAATAATTTTGCCCTGCCGTGCGTAAAGAATTTTGTTTTCGAAAGAGGTATGTAACTAGGGATTGCAATTGCTGGAACCCTCATACAGCAATCCAGCTGGGTGCTGGATCCGCAAATAAGTAACTTTCCAAATAATGGCACAAAATTCTATGTTGACAGCGTTGACCGCTTTGCTGGGTGCGCTAACGCCCAAACATCATCGGCAGGAGCGACCTTACCGTTCTGTCACGCTTGCGGCATGTGCTACACCCCTTTCTACACCGCACTTTTCGCTCACGCTTGATAAAGTTTTATGCTAAATAAGTGTCTTGGCATCGCTGTGGCCGTGGTTGTTTGTTGAGACAATTGTGAATAATTTGACTAAATATTAATTTTAATTTATTTATAAACATTACATTATACTAGTTACAGTTGGGAAAAAAAGACTCAACACTTGTTATAAAAATTATTATAAAAAATAATAAAGATAATTAGACAGACCCACAAAAACAAAAAAGTGGAATGAACTTTACATGTACATACTACCCCTCTGGATTTTGAGCCGCTGAATCCGAATCCGGTCTTAGATTTTTTCCTGGACCTTCCACTTTTCCCCTAGCCTAGGGGAAATACTTGAAATCTTAGAAATTTCAATACCTGTAAAAGCAATTTTTATATACGCAATATAAAATCAGAAAAAAAAGATATAAATTCAGAAACTCAAAATTCGAAAATATATAAGCTTTCTTGCGCAAAAATAGAACCTTCCAGAAATCGCAAGTTTTGCTCAGCTTTTTCCCCTAGGCTAGTGTACTTCTGAGGTACTCTAGGGAAATTCTACAGTGAGATTCGAACTAAGCCACGCGAGATACGTGAAAACAAAATCGTTTTATTTAATATTGCGTAGATCAAAATTGCTTTCACAGATACTTAAATTTCTAAGATTTCACGCATTTCCCCTAGGCTGGGGGGTCCAGGGGAAATTCTGAGATCAGATTCGGATTCAGAGGCTCAAAATCCATAGTAGTTTACTCACATTTAAAGTTCATTTCACTTTTTTGCGGGCCTGTGTTATTTTATAATCTTTACATTAATTTTGTTTAAGCTTTTAAAGTAGAAATCAGTTTAATGTTCTACAAATATTTAGTTGTCCAGTAGATTTAATTCATATTATGGTGTTTGAAAGAGGATAAATGTACTAAAAATTTACGAAATAGTCCAATATCTTTCTTCATAAAAGATTTTCAGTCCTGTAAAAATAAAATTTATTATCTATTTATCTATTTAGGTTTACATATTACTAATAGTAATTTACTATAGTATAGCTAATTTATCAAAAACTATTATACAGAGCTTTTAAAAATTAACAAAACATGAAAATTGGTAAAATTAATGTTTTAAATTAAAAAAAAATTTAATTATTAATATCAATAAATTAAATTAATTGATTTGATTGATGTTAAATTAAAATTTCATTTAATTTATTTTTTATTTTCTATAAACTGGTATCTATTTTAGTTTTTTTTATCAAAATAAAAATAATATAAAAAATTTTAAGAGTGTTAAAAAAAATGATGTTTTCTTACTACCTCGACTCAAAATACGTTGTTTCGTCCCCGATTTCACGGCAGAAAGTTTACGTTTCTTGCATTGGTCAAGCTATACGCGCACACTCTAATAGCGGGAGTAAAAATTTTTTAGTCGCGTGCTTAACATTTAAATTTCGTACTGCCAACATGAGAAACACAAAAATATGACAGTTTTAAACCATAATTTTGCAATTATAACAACAAATAAACAATTTATGTTTTTACTTTTTTACTTTTTATGTTGTTTTAAGTGTTTAATGGTACTTTTATTTGTTATAAAGTAGTAATTTGTTAATTAAAATACAACCTTTTATTTTTACTGTATTGGCACCGCTGAATTACCATGACAACGCTACAGTTTGATTGATTTTGAATGTAAACGTCAGAATTAAATTAAACGTCAGATTTTAATTTTGACACAAATTTTTTTATATACATTTAATTTTTTTCCGTATTTTCTGCAGGGTAGTAAGAAAAATAGTATACACTACACGGGCAGAAAGTGTGAGAGTCCTGAACTGCGCGCCATGATGCCCTCGGCTTCGCCTCGGGCATCATGGCGCGCAGTGCAGGAATCTCACACTTTCTGCCCTTGTAGTGTAATATACTATTGGGTTTACATATTACTAATAGTAATTTTCTATAGTATAGCTAATTTATCAAAAAACTATATTATACAGAGCGTTTAAAAATTAACAAAACATGAAAATTGGTAAAATTAATGTTTTAAATTAAAAAAAATAAAAAGTTTAATTATTAATATCAATAAATTAAATTAATTGATTTGATTGCTGTCAAATTAAAATTTCATTTAATTTATTTTTTATTTTCTATAAACTGGTATCTATTTTAGTTTTTTTAACAAAATAAAAATAATATAAAAAAATTTAAAAGTGTTAAAAAAAATTATGTAATTTAAGTTGCTGAGTCCGCGCTGTATCCAGCTGGATTGGTGTTGATACATGTAATCCCTTAAATTGTTTTTGAGGACTTTTTTTCTTAGGTGGACTTCGACTATTGGTTCACAAACACGCTGCTCAAAGAGGTTATAATCAAGCACAACAATTACAGGGTGATTAGGCGTCGGGTGTCGGCCATGCTTGGCCACTGGACCAGCGTGAAGTTGTCGCAGGAGCTCAGACCCACTCTGTACGAGTGCATAATAAATTTGCTGGGCCCCGAGGAGAACCTGGCCGTCAGGTTGACGGCCTGCGAAACGCTCAAGCACGCAATCGACGACTTTGATTTCAACTTCGAACAATTTAAGGATTATTTATTTACGACGTTTGATTTGCTGTACAAATTGTTGAAAGAAACCAGCGAGTGTGAGACAAAGGTAAGGAAGCTTAATTCACTATTTAAGGAATCGCTTTATAGGTTCAACATTTGAACCAGGTTTAAAAATTGATTTTATAGACAATTACTCAAAAATTAGGAAATATTTTTAGTTTATTATAGAAATAATAAAAACTTCTTAATTGCTTGAAGCATAAAATAAACTAAAAACATGAAAGGTTTTACAAACAAAACAAATAATGCTTTTAATAAAATGATTTTACTTTCATAAGATTTTTAATCCATGTATAGAAAATAATCTTAAAAATGTTAACTTCTAAAAGGTATAAGAATGTAAACTTTAAATATCCATGGTGATTAATTAATATTTCGAAAAAAATCAGGACGAGATTCTTTGCATGAAACTGACGAAAAAAACTTTATATCTGAAAAATACTTTTTTGATTTTCAAACAACTTTGTGTTTTTGCTTATAAAAATAATAGTCAGCTTTTGATGTATGTAATCAGATTTCAATTATTTATTCCAGTGGCATCTCAGCTCGTATTTAAAAAAAATACGGCACGCCACTGCTTTTAATTTGTTGTTATAACCTGTTCCAGATTAAAATAGAACTTTTTGTCTCTTCACTGTTTTTTGCATCTTGCTTTGTTTTCTAGAAACACAAATTCACACTTCTGGTGCAAATGAAAAATACACATTTTCAAAATGTAGGGATAAAAATATATAAAAATAAAACATTTTTATCACGGAATTGCTTATATTGTTCTTATTCTTGGTATTGTTATTTTTAGGGTAGGTATTTAACATATTATAAAAATAAAAAAATCAAATATTCTCCATGTAAAGAGTTTAATAAATAAAGAATTAGGCAGTGCCAATTTAGTAAAAATAAAACGTTTTTTATTCAAGAAATTAATACTTTCTTGCAAATTAAAAACTAAAAACAACATGGTTACCTCGTCACCCTAATATAACAAGGTTGGATGTTAAAAAACCGAAAAATTTGAGTTTATGCTTCTACAATTAAGGTTTTATGTAATCCACCCTTGACATGAGTAGCTTTTGCTAAACTTCGCCCATTTTTTATTAATAAAGGCAATATTATTATACAATTTGTAAATAACTCTATATATATGTATACATAGAATATACATTCTATAGAATTATTTTTAAGTGGTATGTGAAGCGTAGGTCACGTATAATCCTGTAGAAACATAGACTTAAATTTTTCGTTTTTTTAACATACAACCTTTTTATAGTAGGGTGACAGGTCCTGTCTACAATGTTCATATTAAGCGAATAGAGGCAGTTTTTTTGCCCTAATGGGACACTACAGATAATTAATATATATACTGTGTATATTTATATTTATATTCTTCAAACACTTTAAAATCTTTGGTTTGTTGTTCCTTTATTTTTGCTGGTAATTCGTTATATTTCCTTATTCCCTCATGCATCAGCTGTTTTTGACTAGTTCTTGTTTTTCTCTGTGTATTCTTATTTTTTCCCTATTTTTAGTTTTGTAATTGTGTATTTTTTCCAGTTTGGTTAGGTTTATGTCGCTGTCTATAATTTTTCCTTATTCAGTTTAGCTTGGGCTGCTTAAAATTTGTGAAAGGCTTTGGTCAAGTTTTAAATCCAGATTTTAAAAATAATATTGCGGCCTTCAAGAAGAGTTACCTGGAACTGGAAATTAGTGTCACCCCTAAAGTTCATGCAATTTTTTTTCATATCAAAGATTTCTGTGATAAAAAGCAACATGCCTTGGACTTTTTTAGTGAACAGGCAATGGAGTCTGTGCATTTTGATTTTAATTCGGTATGAAAAAGTCTCCAGGAACCATTCCATTCAAACTACCCAGAGAGGTTACAACGGGCTGTATGTGAATATAATAGTCTTCACATTTAAGTTTTTTACCTAAATATGCAAAGTTGTTACAATTTGAATTATTAGAGTTGTATTAAAATAGTTAAAAAATATAATTACTTTTAAAAGATTTTCTAAAGGAAATTCAAGAACGGCTAAGCACATTTTTTCCCCTGACCTTAAAATAATCAGGAACCATTAACAAAACATGCAAAACAAAAAAATCAGAGGTGCAAGCACTTTTTGGTTGAACTTAATCGAGGCTAGGTGTGCTTACCTATCTAAATGTGTTTTCTATATATTTTTTATATTTTTATAGTTATATTTGTCCTGTAACTGGTTTTAAACTGTTGGGCAATAAATTATTATTATTATTTTTATTATAAATTGTTAATTTGTTGTTTTAATTGTAAGTTAAGGTTTAAAACTTAGGTTGGCAGAAAAAATGTTTATTTGAGATTTCCATAAAAAATATTCTGTAATAGTCAATTTCTAATCCATTAACTCTTTGGTTGCTCAATTTAAAAATGGCGATTCCATGATTACTAACGGGACAAAAAGAAAGAAGACAAAATGTTTTATGAATATTTTTGAAGATGGCATAATTTTATGATTGCTATTATTACTTAACTTTATTGCTGAGAACTATCATAAAATTATTATTATAGGAACAACACATCTTCAAAAATTTTCATAAAATAGTTTGTTTTCTTTTTGTTGGTCCCGTTAGTAATCATGGAATCGCCCAAAATCGAATTGATGATGATGAAATTATATATTAAATTTTGACACTTTCTGGAAACTTTTTAAATGAAGATACTACCTACCTTAAAATAATTTTATCAATGTGTTTTTTAAACAAAGAAAAGTTTTTCTTATTTTCATGCAAGGAATATCATCCTATTTTTTTAATAATAATTAATTACCCTTAATGTTACCCTTAATGTCACCCTGAACTTAAACTAGATATAACCGCCTTAAGAATGTCAAAATGTTAACTTATTTTTAATGCATGACATTTACGTTCACGTTCGATTTCAAGAAGCTGCGCATTTCAACAGTTTCAGACTGGTTTAACAGTAATTTTTGTAAACACTGGTATAAATGGTAAAATTACTTTTTTTCAGATGCATGTTTTGAACGCGATGACGTTAATGTTGGAAAGAATGGGACATTCTTTGATCCCATATTACGATGCTCTTCTTCAGTATTTGCCCCATCTCTGGGAAGAATCTCAAGATCACAATATGCTGAGATGTTGCATTGTGGCATCTTTGGTTCAGGTAAGAGTTTGATAGTTTACAATTACAAGGGCACAGAACATTACTAGTGCATTGCTGTTATTTGAAATTAAAAGTCCTAGGACTTTTCTACCGTTTGTTTGCATTATTTATTCTAAATTAACCCTCCGTTAGGCGAGCGGCTAGTACAGGCGCCTTTTGGCGCGTAAGCTAATTTTTTTATTGCATAATCTACGCATACGAGTTTGTTATTAATTTTTTTCCTACCTTTTCCAAATATTTTTTTAGAACTACGAATTAATCCAACATCTGTTTCTAGCACAGTCTTATAGGTTATGTTCAGTATTTAAATCCATTACAAGGTAAAGGTACAAACAAAAGGTAAAGTACAAACAAAAAAACTTCAAAATTTGAAAATTTTCAGAAAAATTTAGTTGCATTTTTTCCTTTTATTCAATATATTCAATATATATTCGTATTACGAAAAAAAATGCTAAAGTCAATTTTTCTGATATCAATTAAATATGTAGGTATACTAGTTTACAGCCATTTTGCCCACCATGTCTCACTATTATTTTCTTGTGTAGTTTGGCTCACTAAACGCGAAAATCACACTTAAATTTTTTTTCATTGAAGCGTTTTCGAGATATGAATTTTCAATTGTTTTTTTTTTTAGTTTTTCTGAGGTATTTTGATGTTTTAGAGTATACTTCGAGTTTTAATTGATCGATTTGACCAAACAAGCACTTAAATCAAAGGTAATTGAGCCATCTACAACTTTCTCTTGTATAGTTTTGGTATCGGCTCAGTAGTTCGATACTGGCGATTTTATAAAGTTGAAAAAGTCCTTTTTTTACCAAAATTGAGGACAAAAATTTACATATCTTTCTGGGAAAGATAGAAATCGAAAAGATAAGTCCAGTTTGATTTATTTTACGTATAGATTATACTTAAAGGAAAAAAAATAAGCTGCTGTTGATAAAAATCCATGGATAAATGGCAAAGTTATGAATTTTTCTTTGAAAGACCAAAATTCAGTTTTTTCGTTTTATTGAGTTATATAAAGTTTAATATTGAACATTGATTTTTATTTTAAACATTAAATATTGAAACTAAATTATATATTGAATATTGAACATTGAAGACATTGAAAGTTTTATTTTATTGTAATAAGCATGAGTTTAAGAAAAATCTGGCTCCTTTTTTTGTTTTTTGTTGCTTCCGTATTCCGTTTCTCGTATAAGGGACCAAATATAATCACCCATCATGGCTGCATCCCAGAAGCCGTGATACCGCCGCGGCGTTTTCCGTGCTTATCACTAACGTCGCCCACTCTACTTCTTTTACTTATTTTACACTTTTTATTAACTAATAAAATAATGATAAAAATACTCAATTAAAATATCAAAAATATAGCAGTAAAATGTTCAAGTTTGCGGAGTCATGTCAAATTTAAATTTTATATAATATTTTCGGTGAAAAAAGTACGTAAAAAACTTCCTATCATGCACTTTAATTACCTAGGTTTTTATTAAAAAATAAACATATTACGAAATAAAAGAAAAAAAATAAAATAAAAATCTTCAAAAAGCTGAATTTTGGTCTTCCACTAAAAAATTCATAACTTCGCCATTTTTTCATGTATTTTTATCAACACTAGATTGTTTTTTTTGTAAAAATATCAGCTTCACGAAAAAAATTCCAAACTGGGGTTATCTGTTTGATTTAACCTTTCCCAGGACGATATGTAAATTTTTGACCATTTTTGCCATAAAAACGAATTTTTTAAGGTATTAAAATCGCTAGCGTCAAAATACTTATTCGATATAAAAGTATGCAAAATAAAGTTTTAGAGGGCTCAAATACCTTCAATGTAAGGGCTTGTTTGACCAAATCGATCAATTAGATTTTAAGCTATACTCAAAAATGTCAAAACAAAAAAAAAACAATTGAAAATTCATATTTCAAAAACGCTTCCATAAAAAAAATTTTGTTGTGATTTTCGTGTTTAGTGAGTCAAAATACATGGAGTTTTTTTTTTCGATTTTGTAAACTAGTGATATCGACGCTGATTATAATCATAATATTGTGATTATAATAATTATTCGTTTTATTTTAATTCAGTAAGAATATTCTACCGGGCCGCAAAAAACACTCGGTTATACATACATAACTTTCATTTCATTTGAAACTTTGATTTATTAAATTATAATTTTGTTTTTTCACTTGATCAGGGCTCTAAAATATCCTAAAATTCTCAAAATTCAGCATTCTGTACTAAATGTCCTATAAAATTGGCCTTGCCCTGAAATGTCATTTTTTGTTTTGTTAATATTTAAAATTGCCCCATTGCCTCCATGATTGTCATGATTGTCCCCATGATTGTCACATGATTTCGTCATGATAAAAACACCAAAACATCAGTTTGTGATCTGGGCCTGCCTACTCTATGGTTGTGTGATCAAAATTAGCGAATTGGATGATCAAATTGACACATATCAAAACAAAATTAAGCTCTGTGATGAATTAAAGCTTTAAAAAAAGAAAAAAAACGACGTATTAACTCCAAAACAGTGATGCAAAACTACCCTATAAGACCTGAAAATATTTTAGTTTTCTTTTATCAATATTAAATTAGGATAAAAACCTTAGGATAAAAAGTACATATTTTTATTTTGTTTTTGTATAATAAATAATTTATTTATATATAATAAAACGTTTGCATGTTTTTAAATTTCTCTTAAATGTCCTTAAATTGTATTAAGATTTGTCCTAAAATCCTAAAAATAGAACTTAAAAATTTGCTGCTTTATAAATCATTCATTATTTTGTAATTGGATGTTTTCAATGGACTCCTTTTTGCAAAAAAAAACCAACCGAAAGTATATTAAATTTACTTTCGGTTGGCTTTTTTTTAAATTTTAACGTTTACGTTTATTGTCTTAAATCACTTTAATTTAATTCAATGTTTAGTTTTATTTTTTTCTGTAATAAAGGATATTTAAAAAAAATTAAAATAATGTTAAGTTGTTGATTGCTACTTTTTTAAAATGTGTAAATTTTCCAAAACAAAATGCAATTTTTCCCAAAAAAGACAATTTTTCCAAGGCCTGAAAAAAAGGTTTTTACCCAATTTTTTAATTTTTTTCGACCCTTTTAAACCTGGTTATAGGTTTTATAACAATTAGAAAATATTATAACTGTCAAAGAATTTGGATATGTTTGAAATTTTTATTTTTGCATATACTTCATTTCTATATCCTGATACGGATATTATACCCACTAATATAACAACATACCATTTATAATTATTATAACATCGAAAAGTAATTTTAAGAAAAAGTTGATATTAAAAATGATTTATTTAACGTTGTGGTTGTTTTTAGTGACTTATCTCTATACGCTAAAGAAGCATCGCTAGTAGCGCCACCACGTGACTGTTATCATCGTAACCGGAATTCGGCTTTTTATACGCAGCAAACGAGAATAAAGCCGGGAAATGTTAAAAATATCGGAAAAAACCGTGGCCCGATTTGTTTTGTTGTTGAGTATTTTTCGAGAGAAAATCCTGGGTTAATTTTTTACTAGTTTCCCAATAAACAGTGGAAATCCGAATGAAGAAATAAGTTGCATACAGTCCCTGTAAATATAAATTGCACCTGTTAGATACAATAAATACACATTTTAGTAATGATTTACGTGAAAATTGTAAACATTTCAATTCAGGAAAAATCATAAAACAAATAAGTCCTCTAAATTCAATTTAGCATTATAAAAAGCTTTGATTAAGAAAGTCTCCCCTCAACAGTAAAATACCAAGAACCGGTATTATATTATGTAGTATAATATTATTTATTAGATGTTGGTCTAAAATAACTCCTAAATATTGAATTTCTGGAACACATTCTATTTGGCTATTATTAATTTGCACTTGTATTGCATTTTTATTAGTTTTAGATATATTAGATCTACTGGCAAATAAAATACATTTTGATTTGTTTACATTTAAAGATAGTTTGTTATCACAAAGCCAGGTATATATGTTTTTTAAATCACAGTTAATTTTAGTGGCCATATCATAAAAATAAATAATAATAATATATACACTAACGTAATTATATAAGAATATAAGCGTTGAGTTTATTTATGAATGATATAAGGAATTATAAATCAAAATCGAGTACTAAACCAAAGTTTTTTAGTTTTTACTTGCATCGCGAAACACAAATAACGTGCGCGATTTAGCTGTGCAATTGAACAAAATTTGTCCTGAAAGAATTATGCCTTCCTCTCTTTTGTGAAAAAAACTACTTACTTATTTAAAAATGATGCAGTCCGTATGCTTTAAATGTATTTTTGACAATTCTAAAATTCACACAATGCCATCGAACACCACCAGATGGCGCGCGCGTTGGGAAAACCCGATGCTTCTTTAGCGTATAATAGAAGTGGTAAATACATGACATATTAATATAAGAACTGCATTTATCCAAAAGCTTATACAGTATATTTAAACAAATACTGTCTTATTTTATTTGATAAATTCTAAATACTACCTGTTTATTCCATCAAACATTTAAAAAAACATGTAGGTATATTATATAATATAATAGTAGTGTAAACCATTGTAACGGGTTATAATCGTAGCTAAAGTTGGGGATGGTCAATTGACCGCGGTCAATTGACCAGTCAATTGACTGCTACCTATTTGACAAAATTTATTTAATTTTTGCAATTGACCGGTCAATTGACCAAAAACAATTTGACCGGTCAATTCCACAACCCTAATCGTAGCCCAATTGGCCAAGCGACTTTGACTTTAAATAACAAACATTTAAACGGACGTAAAAAACTGATTACACTAGTTTACAAAAATTTCCTTATTTAGCTGCATATTTATGATGTATTGTTCTAAAACTGCTAATTTTAAAGATTTCTTGCATATCTCAAACCTAAACCAGAAAAAACTGTATGTAGTGTTTCGGAATCATTACGAAAATTTACCTTAGAAAAAGTGTTTCTGATTAATCGAGGAACAACAGTGTTTTAAATAGCTACTAAAAAAATGCATACATAAAACCAATATTTAAAAAGTTGCAAAGTTAGCCTAACGAGGGTTAAAAGATACTTTTGGTTTTGTAATGAAATAACAATAAATAAAATTAAGGCATGTTGTTATTTTTTTTTGGTAGATTGTTAAAGCTTTGGAAGGAGTTAAACCTGAACTTTACCCTTTTCTTTTGCCAATAATCCAACTTGGTACTGACTCGAATGGCGAGGCCATAGTTTATTTGTTGGAGGATTGCCTAGAATTGTGGTTGATTGTCTTAGAGTACACTGCGACAATAACCCCAGAACTGATGCAGCTGTTTCACAACATAAAACCTCTGTTGGGTAAGCAAGTTAATCAATTTTAAATACAGATTCAATATTTGTTGTTTATACAGAAAAATCAACGGAAAATCTTAGCGTATGCTTGTTGATATGCACCACGCAGCTTCTGATAAATCCCGAACTGTTTTTGTCCACATTCGGTTTGGAATTGGTGTCATTGTGTGATGGAATGGTTTCGGATTTAAAGAATGAAGGCATCATACTGATTATGAGACTGATTGAAACTATTATTAAGTCGAATCCTGCTATAGGGTCCGAGACGGTTACGCCCATATTACCCAGGATTTTAGAGTAAGATAATAAATTTAAAATACTTTAGTTAAAAACCCAACTTTTTAATAACAAAATCAAAATTCAAAAAAATTACAACTAGGAGTAAAATTAATAATTTTAAATTATCATTGCAATTTTCCATTTTCACTTTAGTCCAATGAAAAACATTTTGTATTTCACTAACAAATAAATATAAAACCAAGCCCAATAAACATACTCTACAAAATTTTTATCCTATATTTTTTTTCGTAAACATATCCAATTCAAAAGATATCTTAGGTCAAAGTTTATACCTGTATGTTTAAAAAAATATATTTATTTCCAAATTTTGCAGAATATTTAGGATTTTTAAATGAGTTGTACATATTTGTGTTGGAGGTCTACAAAAAAGTTTTAATAATATTAATAATAATACACTGCGCGACAAAATTAACGCATAACATGTAAAAAAATCCAACTTTAAAACGCCTTTACCAATCTTTTTAAAATGTTGGTTAAAGCTACTTTAACTTATATCTCAGTTTACGTGTTCAAGGGTTTTTCGATAAAATAATAAAAAACGCTCGAAAAAAAAACTTTTTTAGGGATTTTTTTTAAGAAAATAAAAAATATGCTGTAAAAGACCGTATTTTTGTTAGTATACCATAAAAATGTTGTACAAATCAACAAACAGTAACGAAAATACAGCGCTTCAAAGTCGTCAAAAATGACCACTTTTCAGCAAAATAATCAAAAAGGGGTAATTTTTACTGACTTTGAAGCGCTGTATCTTCGTTACTGTTCGTTTGATACTGTTCGTAGAAAAACAAAAATACGGTCTTTCACAGCATATTTTTTATTTACTTAAAAAAAGGTTATTTTTTTAACTTTTTTTTATTATTAAATAAAAGGGCTTTAAAAATATTTTCTCGAAAAATCCTCGAACACGTAAACAGATATAAGTTAAAGTATTTTTATACAAAATTTTATAAAGACTGGTAAAACGTTAATTTTCACGCGCAGTGTATTTATTGATCACACAGTTTACAGGTCATATAAAACATATTGGAACATTTAAGTTAAATTACAAAATAATATATAAAAACACTAGGAACACCAAAAAGAAAAATATCTTAAAAAACTCTTTTAGTATTCTTTATCTGAAAACAGAGTCTGCAACTTGTTTTTTTAAACATTTTGGAACATTTACAATAAGACACAATTGACTTAACTTTATAAAAACATTTAATTCCCAAATAAATAAAAGAATTTTGACATACAAAGAGCCTAGAAAGTGGCAAAGCTAACTCATTTTGACTTCTTGTTGAATAACTATTTATGTTGCTATGAGTGAAATGTCTTTTTTGCTTTCAAAAATATATAAAATCAAATTTTATATGTATAAACTGGGAAGAGTTCCTTAACAATGGTTTACAAGAATATGTTTGACTTTTTTGCATTATAAAAACTTTCTTTAAATGACTAGAGCTATCCCAAAATATAATGCCATAGGCAAGATGTACTTGGACTACCCTAAAGTACATAAGTCGCAGTGACCTATTAAATAGGAAGCAGAACTTATTTTTTTATTTAAATTATTTGTTGTTTATCATTTTAACTTTTTATCCAAGTAAATACCCAAAAACTTTATGGTTTCCGCAGACAATTGATTTACCTATAATTGGAATAAATAGATCATAATCGGGTAAAACGTTTTTTGGTAAAAATCACATATAAAATGTTGAGTTTTTGTTAATGGTTTTGTAATAAGTAATAAGTTTTGTTTGAGGTTTTGTTTAATATAAAGTATATCCCGTATGGTTTTTTTTTAACTTTTCTCCTGTATAAATGTTTTAATGTAATTATTTATATGAATTTTAAATTTTATCCACCGGAATACTTGTATAAAATGAACATTTTGAAATAAAATTTATAAAAAAATTTGAAATATATAGTTCAAAGCCTATTTAAGCCTATAAAAACATAAATTTAAAGATATTTTTAAAAACTAGATTGTAGCTACAAGTATTTTTTACGGTAAGGAAAAAAAATGTTAAGTTTGAGTTGAAATTCGGTTGGGATTATGTTTGAAAAGTTTAAGCCTGATTTATAGATTGCCTTCCTTCCTTCCTTCCTCCCGTAGAAGATGAACAATACGAAAACCGTAGTGCTGTTTATGGATTCCCGTACCCTAAGAATGCCCTTCCTTCCTCCCGTAAAAATTTTCAAGTTTAATCTTTCACTGTAAAGGTCTCATGTCAAACCAATCACAGTACCTTGATATAGACATGCGATATAGGCGCTATGGCGCGCAGATACAAAATATTTAATATAATACGTATTATTATTGAAAAAAGGTACTTAAGTTAATTTTTTACCTAGGTATAGGCACATGTTGTTAACCTAGAGCTTGTGTTTCTTAAGAAATATATTAAAAAAAGCATACTTTAATTTTGGTATGAACAGGTTGTTAATTAGCTGTTATTAGTTATGTATTTTTTTATTAATACCTACTAATTTTTTCTCTTTAAATTTAAGTACTCCTTAATCATAGAACGAATGCAAAGGCACCCATATTTATATGAAAATTCTTTAAAAGGTTTTAAAGAAGATTCAATATGGTTAAATTGCCAACATTCTAAAAGTTAAAGTTAAATAAATATTTAATAATCTAGATTATTTGCTTACATAATAAAATAAAGTAGATACCTAAAAATAAAAATACCTGTAAAATAAAAACTTAATTTATTGAAAGTAATAACAATCACATATTCCACTCAAGATACTTGTACGTCCAAGAAACACTTTGCATAGTACCTCCATGTGATAAATAGCTAAAACAATAATAAAGTTAATAATTTAAAATGAATATTATCTTACTACTTTATTACTGTAATTTGATTGCATTTTTTTCCTCTGGACATTCATATTTGATTTTGTTTTAAGAGTGGTTCGAATTGCCCAACAAAAATATTAAAAACCGGGATTGTCATCCTAGTATAATTAAAAAACTGTTCAGGATCATTTTCTTGATTTTTAAAAAGGTTCCTCTGTATTTTCAGTTAATTTTCAACATACAAAGTATTACTTATTTCAAAATCACAACTATTTTGCGAGTTATAAAATTTTAAAAAATAACATTTTTTTTTCTTCAAAATTTTGACTTTAGATATGTTTTGAATGGCTAGTTGAGATACCTTTTTTGTGGATAGGCTTCTTTTGAGGTGCCCAGCAACCAATTTTTCGATATCAAGTCAAAAAAAAGAATAGTAGATTTTTTGAACAAACAAAGCTGAAGCTGGACCAGAAAGTCGTCCAGCTTCAACGTATCCGCGTAGATACGTTGTTTTAACCAGGACTTTGGTCTCAACTTCTTAAAATCTTGATCAGTATTTTTTTTATAAATATCTGTACGGTTAAGAGCGTCTATTAGAGAGAAATCTATTTATTCATTAGGATGGCAGCATACTAGTATGTGAAAAGAATCCTTGTTAATATCTAGAAAAAAAAATAGTGGTGTCTTTATTATTTTTTAGGCAAATATGCGCAGCAGATAGTTATCCATTAATAATGTCATCATATCTGGCTATTACGTCCAGGGTTTTGCTATCCAATCACGACGTATTCAGAAGGGGGTTGGCCATGTTGGCCCAGAAACATGAAAAGACTGAAGAAATTGTGTTGGGAACTATTTTAGACGTGTGGTTGATAAAAATGCCTATGGTATCGCAAAGAGAATACACAAAATTGTTGGGTAAGACCTACTTTTATTCAAATGAAGTCTCTGAAATGTGTTTAATTGCAATAATATTTTTAATAAAGCAATGGCTCTGACCAATCTTCTCACGACCCAAAGCAGGCCGGTGTTTGAAAGATTTTCCAAAATTATGCTTCACATCACGGAAGCTTTGAACGATATTACGACCAAGTGGGAAGGCGGCCAGATGGTGGACACTTTGGTTCTGTCCGACGGCCAGAGCCCACCCAGCAGTTTTAACGACAACGACGATAGAAGTCGCTTTTACGAAACGGATCACGATCAAAGAAAGAAGCAGTTGGTTCTTTCCGATCCAGTGCATACTGTAATTTTAAAGGATTATTTACAATCGCAGGTAAGAATCTCCATCTTTATTAGTTCAAAAAATCGCTGTATTACTGTATTTTGCTGTATTTTTTGGAAAAATAGGGGAGCCCATTCTCGGACTTTCTGCGAAAATTTTTTTTATAATTATAATGTGCTTGTAAAAATCAATACTAGTAAGAGGGTATTAAATGAGGGTACAAATTTTTACAAAATTATCAAAATTTCTTAAACTTCTAAAATTTTCAAAATTCACAAAATTTCAACAACAAAAAAATTCACAAAATTTCAACAACGAAAAAATTTACAAAATTTTTATACCTAAACCGATTTCACTCAATTTTTCCCAAAAATTAATTAATATGAAATCTCTTTAAAAAATTACCATCTTTTTTAATCAATTAAAGATTAATTAATTAAAAATCTTTTTTTATATACAGGGTGTCCGGGAAAAGGAGGTCAATCCGTTAACCATATATTCTTTGAGTTAAAACAATAAGACTTTCATAATACCATTTTTCAATTTAGAGCTTCATGTTCGATATACAGGGCGACAAAGTTTGAAATTTAAAACTGATTTTTTTTAATAATTCAAGTAATTGATAAGATATTAAGTTTAAATTCGGTACACTACTTCAATATAAATAGTTACATTTTTTGAGACCAACAAAACAAAAAACAATTGACAAATAATCAAAATAGGGGGTCCAGTACTTACTGACTCCCCCTATTTTTTAGTACGTGCGCCAATGACTTCCAAACGGTATTTTTTCAGGTAATCATTTATTGTTGAAAATTTTTTGTCTTATAAAATTTTGATAAAATGATTTGTTTTAGAGATAATTTGTAAAGTATGGGTCAACCCCCCCTATTTTGATTATTTGACAATTGTTTTTTGTTTTGTTGGTCTCAAAAAATGTAACTATTTATGTTGAAGTAGTGTACCGAATTTGAACTTAATATCTTATCAATTACTCGAATTATTAAAAAAAATCAGTTTTAAATTTCAAACTTTGTCGCCCTGTATATCGAACATGAAGCTCTAAATTGAAAAATGGTATTATGAAAGTCTACTCAAGGAATATATGGTTAACATATTGACTTCCTTTTCCCGGACACCCTGTAGTTCCAGTATTAATTTAACTCTTAACATCCCATGCCACTTTTGAACCTGACACCATTCGATTTGGATGAAATTTTTATATGTTATGTTCCTAAACGTTCCTGTAATTTTTTTATTTTTTTTAACAAAAAAAATGTATAAATATGTTCAGGGAGTTATGTAATTAATGTAATATATTTAAATACTGTAACAAAAAAATATCTAAAAAAATATTTTTCCAAAGACAAAGAAAATATGCATTGGAAGTTTTTTATATTTTTTCTGATACTCCACTGGTTACACACTTAATTGTGTTATTTAAGTACATGCAAAAAATAAATAAAAACTCAATAAATACCAAAGTTGTATGCCCTTAAAGCTCTAATATTAATTTACTCATCCAGCTATTGCTTAAGCAATGATTAGAAAATTTAGTACCTAATTTAAAAACTCCATAGCCACAAAATTAATTTTTCATCGTTTTTTTCTTCTGTTTACTCAGATGAAATTAGGACAAGTTTACAGGTTAAACTTTAAACATTCAATTTGTGTAAATAAATCCAAAAGCACTTCCCTTAGTTAAGATATTTACAATTTGAGCACAAAACCTAAAATTTAAAAGAAATGCACCAATTAATGGTAAATGTCATAAAAGTAGCCAGATTTTGTTTGAATTTACCTTAATTACAAAAATGACATAATGAATTGATTTTTTTTTGTAATTAAGCTAAATTTAAACAAAATCTGGCAACTTTTTTAACATAATAAATTAAATTAGGCAACCAGATTAGCCTAAAGTTCCTAGTCGATCAGTGGCGTACTTTTGAGAAGGATTACGGTTATTATAAATTATTTTTAGTCTTTAGAATTTAGAAAAAAAGTTTCAGGTGCTTCTTTATGGACCCTAAGGACATACCCATTTTAATATACATTAATTACATAACACCCTGTAAGTATATAAAAAAAATGTATAAATATATAAAAAAATTTGCATTTTTAATTGATTTTTTTAATTTTTTTTGTTTAAACGTTCTTTTTTGAAAAAACATAATTTTTTGTCTTTGATATAGGTATCTCGAGTTTAATGCCGAATATTTCTCTAAAGTATTGTTGTGACAGTACGGGTACTAAATTAATAAGTGAACATTAACATCAAAAATTAATAAATGGAAATACCACATTGCACAGTGTTTCAATTCTCGAAACTTTCGACAGGGAGTAGTAGGAATTACCTAAAAATCCGGATATAGTGGTTTTTGGGGTCGGTGATAACGAATCTGGAATCAGAATTCAAAATGGTAGATCCAAAATGGCGGACCTATTTGTCAAAAAATTGACGGAATAAATTAAAAATCACCATACAGGGGTTTTTGTGGTCGCTGATAATGAATCTGGAATCACAATTCCAAAATTCAAAATGGTGGACCTCAATTGGCGGAAATTTTTATCAAAAATTGTCGAAATTAATTAAAAACCTGTAAGAGGTTCTTTCTAAAATCTAAACAAAACATCTTTTTACAAAATAGCTTAATTTAGTTTATTATAGTTACATTTATATATATTATATTATTTTTAATACCTACATATATACGAGTATTAAACAATCTCCGTCACTGGATTCGCTAAAAAAATTGTAAACACAAATAACCACAATTCAAATTTGACATTAACACACTACAACGCGCATGCGGAGTTGTTTTAACTCACCTTCAAGAGGTGGGTTAAATATGTAAAATCGGTGTTAAATATCTTAGTAGTCACGAACGATTTACGCAAGTGAAAGTCTAGACACCGCTGTTGTAATAAACGTTTTGAGTTAAATCCGAGTGAATCGAGTAAAGGTCATGAACGAAACCCAGAAATAAAATATATTTTGTAAAGCAAAAACACAGATACGCGCGCGACATAGGCTTAAAATCGCGAGGTTTTTTACCACAACCGTGCCTGAGCGCCCAAGAACATGTAGTTTTAAAGAGCCGGGGGCGAGTTGGGGCAGATAATTTATTGATGGCTTGATAGACAAAACTCTAAGCTATTCAACGGATCTTGAACTGATGCCTTAAAATTAAATTTTTTTCAATACAGGATGGAGACAGGTATTAACTACCCATCTAACTCAAAATTTTCCTTGTAAAAAATGTCAATTTTTGAGGTTTTGCCGATATTTTCGAGAATTGAAACACTGTGCGTTGCTATGACAGCGGTTTTTTTTTTTGCACAAAACTATTTTCTATATTCAAAAAGAAGAAATATGTTGAAAAGTAAAATTATTATTATTTTAATATAGTTTTTGGTATTTTTGTAGGTATTTTTACTCGAGAAATATTCTCTCTAAATACCGCTTGTGCTTAAAAATGAACCAGATAATTTTCATTCAAGCTTGTTTGTTGTGTAACTGTATTTTTTGTAGGTATTTTTACTCGAGAAATATTCTCCCTAAATACCGCTTATGTTTAAAAATTAACCAGATAATTTTCATTCAAGCTTGTTTGTTGTGTAACCCCCAAAAATGTCATTGTGGGCCAAATTCCGACAAAGTTCATTTAATTATTAAAAAAGTTTAAAAAGCAAGGACTCTATGCAACCTTTTTTAATAGCATTTATAAACATGTGTTTTTGCACTTTATGTCTCATATTATTGTTATTTATGAAGAAAATATACGTATGTATGCATATAATTATGTGTTCTTGAAACAATCTATAAGCCCTGTATTTTTTAGTTAAGGAAAATCTTATCTTCTATTTAAAAAAATCATGAAAAGTTATTCAAGAAAAGTTTTTGATCCACAATCCAGAAAATTAATTAATTTTTAATCTGATTTAAAAAAAAATCCAAAATATAAATAAATTAAATTGCAAACACATGATATTTTTAATAAACATCAAATATAAAAGCAACTGTCAGATTTTTGTTACATATAAACAAATAAATTTACAGAAATTCTAAGAATCACCTAAATGAAATTTAATTAAAATAACAAAATATTATTATTATTATTATTGTGCTAAGCAAAAATGTGGTAAACTTTATTATTTAGTTACTTAGTTACACCTTTTTGCATAACACAGACATGTTACAAAATACCAATAATATCTATCAACCCCTAATAATATTTTTATATGACTAAATTATTAAAAACAAAATTTATTTTTAGATCTTTAGATAAATTTAAACCGTACGTTTTTAAATTATAATATGTAAGCTTGAAATACAAATTAAAGTTACATTTACATATAGCCATCAAGATGTAAATCAATATTATGAACACGGTTCTAAAATTTTACCGCAAACAAATAATAGCAGTAATTAAATACATTTAATTAAACATGTAAACAGGAAGAACAATGAATTAACAATAATTCAATAATGTTTTGTTTTAGCTTTCAGAGTTAAAAAACCAAATTGGTATTACACATTACCAACAATTATGCCAATCATTGGACGCAAACACTGTATCACAATTGGAAGAATTTATTTCAATTTAATTAAAATATATATATATACATATATATATATTTTCTGGCTTGTTACCTACATATTTTGTTGGATTTGTTTTATTAAGTTCTCTTGTCTTACTATTTTTTGAATTGTCATGTGAATGTTTTCTTTTTTACATTTAGATTTTAAGATTTTATTGTGATTTAAAGTTAAATATTATTGTATTATTTTTATTTTTATAAGATAAAAATACTGAATATTTTACTATAATCTATGTCAAGAAAATAAATACATGTTGTATAAACTAATGTAAAATATATTCAATGTTACAGTATTTGTGATATTTATTACAAAAACACACCTACCGACTCCCCACCACGCATTTTTAATATATATACATTTGTATATTATGTCAGGAAATTAAGAATCGCCCAAAAAATGGTAATATGTAGCATATTTTGTTTAACAAAGTTTGCTAAAATTATGGAAAAAAATTGGGCTTTTTATTTTCATTATGATATTTTTAATACCGTTATTTTTCTTAATTCGGTCCAGAAAAACAAAAAATAAAACCTTCAAAAATGCTCGTTCTTTAATATTACCTACCGGAAAAGTACCTATGTAACAATAAAATATTAGTAAGAAATCCTAGAGCTAAGGTCATTATTAGAATAGCAGTTAAAACAAAGTAATTTTAAGGTCATTATTAGAATGGCAGATAAAACAAAGTAATTTTAATTACTAATTATAAAAATTCGTTTGTACATTGCTTCTTATTTTTATTTAAACTAAAATGTTTTTGTTTGAAAAAGTAATTAATTAATAATTGTTTCTTACAGTACCTAGTATTTTTTTACATTTATTTAGTCAAAACGAACCATGGCTAAATCATCAAATTTACGTTTTTGACAATGTAGTGTATTTTGTAATAAAGTCTACCATACCTAGTTTAAAACCAATTTACCTTTATTAATTCTTGAGGGGAATAATTCCTAAAACATAGTTTTAATTATAAAATATTTCCTGGAAAATTAAATAACAGGAACTACCTCAAAAGTTTAATATTAAATTATTATTAATGGATGCCTTCACAAGCAGAACAAAATTAATAATTATTATATAATATTCATAGTAGAGAAAGAAAGAACTAATGTCATAAGACTTAATTTTTTCGCACAAGGACGTGTGTCTCTGTACTATTTTTTTCTATTTGGCAAAATTTTAAGAAAAATTCGAATTATAAATTATATTTGTGTATAGTTATGTTGCCATGGAGACAATACGAAACGCAAATGTGCATTGTACTGTGCTTATTATGGTATACAACTAGAAAAGTAATAGAAACAAAAATACAATACCAATTAAGCTAAATGAATGAAATTTAAAAAAATGGGTTTTTTAAAATAAAGGTTTATTATTATTATATTAGTAAGACCATCCATCTATCAAAATTAAAAAAAAATTAAATATCTCACTAATAAAAATAAAAAAATAATCATATTTTAGTATTTCTGGAATTTTATGTAAAATTTAAAAATGCAATAATATTTATATGGTTCCATTTGAAAAAACCAACGTTGATATCACTTCCTGTTTAACCGGAAGTGATAACGCATGAAAAATAATTAAAAAAAATAGTTTACATTGCCTTGTAATTGCTATACAAATTTCAAATAGATATCTTTTTCCGTTCTCCATAAACTTCTAATAATTCATTTAGGTGAATAATCCTGTATACAAACTATAGGTACATATATTTTTGAAACCAGAAGAAAAAACTATTTAATTATTCAAAAATATACAAGGTGTTTATTGAAAAAAAACAATGTCTATTTTATTAAATTTTATTAAATTTACCGATATTTTTGTTTGCACCCTGTATTATATATATTATTATTAAAAATGTAAACTGTAAATCCATTAGATTTACCAACTAACTATTAGTTCTACCTATCAAAAATTACGTAGTATAAAAAAATAAATAAATAAAAATGTGTGACATGACGTTATAAAAAAGGACAATTTATTTTATGACCCATGCCATTGTTTTGTTTTGGACTGTTGGTGTGGATGTATAAATTTTGCAATTGTTTATATGAACAGCACATGAAAACTTGTTCACGTGTGTTCGTGTTTGAAACTGCATCGGGTATTTCGGTTATTCCGGTCATTTGGGTCCGGTGTCAACGAGTCCTGCATTTAGTGAGTGCGGTCGCTTCGATCGTCAATTGTTTAAAGTGCTCCCCCTGGGATCTGCATCATATTTAAATCCATCCATTCACGGCTTTTGACATTTAATTGTATCAAGTTGTTTGTTTAAAGTGGATATCGCACCTCGGCTGCCAGAAAGACACATGTATTTTTGGGTTCTACACAGTTTAAATATTTTATTTTTCTTTTATTTGTTATAATTTTAATTATAATTATATTTTATTTTTTAATACAAATAAAATATATTGGTTTATATTTTAAAGTAATTCCTTGCGTGAATAAAATAATATGTACTCATATTTCAATCGCTATAATAAATAAGGCTGATGTATAAATTTCAAATAATTTATGGGGCTTAGAAAGTAAATCCACAATGCACTTTTTAAGGTAATAAATGATAGCGCTTTGCTCTGAGCAGTTGCCAGATAAAGCTGAAAACTGCTGAATGCAACAATTTATTTTCTTTAAATAAAGGGATAGGAATTGTATGTTGAGAACAGATTTTGTCGGAAAACAGTTAAAATAACTACATTAAATTTACAAATTTGGTTTTTAAATAAATAAATTTGTTTATCTTTATACGAACAAATATTTTAAAAATTACCATGGGGTAGGTACTATGGGGTAATTAAAAAAAATCGAATATTTTTTTTACTTTAGACACTGAAAATTTAGTTCTTAGGCACCTTTCTATTTAAAAAAAAGATAGATTTTTTTGATTCACCCTAATGCATAATAATTATGAAATTTTTTATATTTAATTACAATTAAATATATTATTGTCTAATATATAATATAATATTATATAAATATTAAATTTTAAAGGCTTAAAATAAACAAAAACAATACAATATAATAATAAACTAAATAAAATTAAAATGCAGTATTTATTTATTAACTTGAACTTATTTAATTCGTTTATTTATTTTCAATGTAAAATATAAGTAAATAATTTGGCTTTGTATTAATTAATGATCTGGCTCTTTTTAAGAACTTTCTAACTTAAAATCTATTTATTTATCTGTTTATTGTTAAGCTTGTTTAACGTTTATCAAAAGAAGGTAAGTTATTATTTGTTAAATTAATTGTTTTAATTGACATGCCTATTTGTCCCACCCGTCACAAAAAAACCAAAATAGTTTTGATTTTAATAGAAATAATAATTTTTTTGAAAGCAGATTTTAATAGCAAATAAAGTCAATAATATCAAATATTTGGGGGTAATTTCAAGTCTATTAATTAAAATTTAAATTTTTTATAAATTATTAAAATTTGTCCCACCCGTCACACTACGGCGTGTTTTGAAACTTTTTAAGTTAATCTATTTAAAAATCAGTTATCAGTTATTGTTAATGCAGGTGCAGTAGGTAAAATCCAGTTTTTCTGCATCTAAATTTAATAAATATTTATAATAATAAAAAAATCGCGTTTTTATACTTTCTTTAATTAATTAATTAAATAAAATACCAACATATAAGGTTTTTTGATTTTTTTTTAATTTAAATAAGATGTAAATATATATATAATATATATATATATATATCCTTGCTTGGCAAAGAAATATAAATGATATAAAAATACATCTTATTTAAATTCAAAAAATTCAATATTCAAACATTGTTAAAAATGGACTACATTATTATATAATAATGTCCCACCCGTCACATTTTTAATATCAACATGTTTTTTTAAAAAATATATAAACGCATTATACAGTACAAAGACTTATGTAACGAAAAAAAATTTAAACATATTATAGTTTTGTATAATTTAGCAGAATTTTGCTTCCAGGCAATAAGTCATAAAAATATTGTTTTTTGCTTGTCCCACCCGTCACAATAAAAAATTACTTTATAAAACTAAAAAAGTCTATAAAACTAAATAGTGTGACAAGAAACTTGTATTGTTTATTTAGATGTTGTATGGGTGTTTAAAAATATCAGGGTTTCATGGATAAAAAAGCTTACAATAATAAAATATAAATTGAATAAACATATACAAATTAGTACAAGTGTCCCACCTGTCAAATGGAATGACATTAATGCAATTTTAAAACTAAAACATTATATCACAATGTATAATTTAACGCTTTATGGCGCAATTTTTTTTATTTTTCAATTAATTTAAGTAAAGGATATGTCTGCAGATACTTCATTTTTTTTTAATTTTTGAAGATGTAAGTTTATAAACTGTAAAGATGTAAGATGTAAGTTTATAACAGGGTTTCGAAATATTTAGCCACAAGTCATTGCTTAATTTTTTGAGGGGTAGGTATGCGCCAAAATGGAAAAGGCCTACCTAAGTAACGTGAGACTCCGTCAATAAATTTAAATAAATTATAAGGAATCATTTTCTCCAGAGACGGCTATCTCTAGAGACAATGTCGCTAGTCAGTTAATTTATAGGTTGCTATCAAGATGTGAATACATTATACCTGCAATAAAGTAAATAATGGAATGCTTCAACTCTTTGTAGCTTAATAAATTGCCACTACGGAGCTTATAGGCTACATTTAAAAAATAATATGCTTTCTCCGTGTTGTATATACTTTTTTGTCAAGTGTTTAATAACTCCGTACTTACATTGGTATTCTCGAGTTTGTAAAAATTGTGTAATAGGTTATGTGACATTATAGATTATGTTGATGCATTTGAGGAGGTGCATTCCAAAACTCGGCTTATCATATTAGTTGTTTTTAAGCAAAATGTAAAAATACAGAATACTTTAAACGAAATATATAGGCATAAGTAAAACATTTATATACCTCGATTAAAAAGGTTTAGCACCAATTTAAAATTATTATTTTTACTCATGTAGTATAAATTGAGTTCTGCATGATATAACCATTGAGTAAGATCTTACTAAATGATATAACGAAAAGATAAGGTGAGTTTTAGAATAGTATGAACTTTATTAACTTCATTATTAGCAGAAAAATAGTACCAATGCTAAATTGGACATATCTTTATTAAACTGTAATGGTACGATATACGGGGCAGTTAATTTTTAACATTTCTTAATTTATTATTTTTAAGCTTTACGAAATATGGGACTAATTTTAAATATTTGTT